CAAAAATTATGAATTGCAATTTGTACAGATTCTGCCTACTTCATCAAAAATTCCTATGTTTATTTATTTTTACTTGCTTTGATGGGACCCCGAAGGGTCTTTAATAAAAATTATTATTATTTTTGGCGTGAATACAGTGTCGCAACAGTGAAGAAAACTTTTTCCCCCGTCTACCTGTCCTACGGGAATGGTGGTAGGAGGGGTTGTACGGGTGGGGCCTCTAAAGCGTGCCAAACAGCAAATAATATAGTGCGCGATAATTAAAAAATTACATTGACGCCAAAATTTGTTTTAATGCATCAAACGAACCTCATATATGACCTTCACGCTGAAAAAGCAGCCTATGGGAAGCCGGGAGTGGACCTAGGACGTCATGCGTTAACGCTATTGGCCGGGTTAGAACGGAAGCCGTAGTGGCCAGAGGCCTGACCAATGGGCTGGTGGGAGTGCGTGTGTTTTGCGCGCTGGGCGGGAGGAAATTAATGGCGTAGGGTTTGCCGTTTTCTCTGAAAAAGGCAACAGCAGAGAGGCATCGGGTGGACGATAGTAGTTATGGCCAATGGATGCCATTGCGCCGTTCACGTACGCATACGACTTCCATGGCGGTAGGTCGAGCAGGGACGAAAAGCGGTTGATTAGGTAAAGTAAGTTCGCTAATTATGGTGTGCCTATGAGCAGGTAGGACAGAAATGCAGTATGTAGTATGCTGTATGGGGAGGCATATCGAACCCTAGGTTAGGGCTAGCGGAGACTGTGAAATGTGGGCATTTTAAGAAGATGACCATGCTCTGTCCTAACCTGCCTACACACTGGTTAATGAAGTAACCAACTGATGTAGTAGCATGAATTTTTCGCATTGAATCAATTATATTTCATGGAAAACATGCATAAAAATATGCATTTGTTGCCCATTTGATACAAAATTACGTCTCCTACCAATTTTACACTCAAATTCGGTTGGAAAAAGTTCCTAATTATGACATTTTTTAATAACCGTGGAATGCCCATTCATAAAACACCGCGTCTCTGTAGATGCCGATGTTGCTTGTAAAGTTTACAATATGGCTCAAATCCACTGCTGAATTCTGTGGACCGCCTATGGTCTCCTCTTAATACCGGAAGGTTTTCCGTACGCGGAAAATATATGGCCCGAGTTTCTGAAGCCGAAATGTAAGTTTAACTGCAGGTCAGGTTCGAAATTTTGCGGGAATTGGAAAACTCTTCGAAAACTGAATTAAAGCCTTCCTTTGAGTTTAAAATGTGGAAGATGATGCAATTTTCTATCCAGGAAATAGAAAAATGACTACGTTTATGCACATTTTCCATGAAATATAATTGCATTTTTAACGGTATCGAACATGAATGAGAAAAATTCACGCTACTTAAGTAGTTATTTTCTACAGAGTGTGGGTTTTGCAGGCAGCCAAAAAGAAGTTCCTTCAAAAACCGACATCCCGTGGTAACTGAAGCACTATAGATTTACACTGCAAGATCATTAATTTTGCGACCCTGCCTACGTGATCTTTTCGAAACGAAGAAGCATTTCAGAATTTCAGTTGACATTTCTTGAGTTAGTCCACCTACTTTAGGTAAAGCTGTAATATTAGTTAAAGCGTAGAACAATCCCATGACATATCGGTTACCTCAGGTAAACCGGTATTTGAACAACCTTCTTTCCGGCCGCCCGAATAAAGTGCATCCCGTGTAAACATTACCACCTAAGTAGTATAGTTCTGTTTTCATTGATTTTGAAACCCTTATAATATTAACTATAATTCATGCAAGACATGCATAAGAATATTCATTCTTTTACTCATGGGGCAGAAAATTACATCTATTTCGAATTTTATACCCGGAAGAAGGGTGTAAATCGGCTCAAAAAAACTGTCTTTTCCCGAACTATTTTGATCGCAAGTTGCCAGTGTACTTGCCCGCAGGCCTCCCAAAACTGTACGTCGTACATCTGCCGTGTACGGCATAGCTTATATTTTATCCATTATATTAAGGGGATACCAATGGGGATTTATAAAATTTATCAGTGGATTTTAGCTATATCACAAGTCATATTAGTAAATGCAGAGTTGGGATATTGTATAAACTAGCATGTCATGGTCTTAGTAATCTCATACTTTGAAACGTCTGAAAGGCCTAATAACACCCTTTCTTCCGGTACGGAATGTGAGGTAGACGGAGACATAACTGTCTTCGAAGTAAGTAAAAAATGAGTGTGTTTATGCATGGTGTTTATGAAATATATTTGCATTCAGTAGGACATCGTAAGTCAATGATAATAATTCGTACTATTGGCATCCTGAAATAACTGAATTATTGTGGGATTATGCCGCACGGTAATGAATGCTGCAAGTCGACCCACGCAAACTTTTTGAAGCGAAACAGGAGTTCGGAATTCCGGCTAACATTCCGCGAGTTCGCACATCCGCCGGACCTCACGCGAAGACAGTTAGGAATGTGAATGGATTATTCAACATATAGCCTCTTAATAATAATGCCATTGGTAGATTACGTACACGAAGTCACTAACAAGGCCACCATAGTAAACCGTGCCATTGACAGTAAAACGTTTGCTTAGGTAACACAGTGTGGTCTGTTATGAAAGTAAGTCCCGAGTACGTTAAGGAGTATTTCAAAGCATCCATGGTCATTTATAAGTACTCGACGCACCCACAGGTGTGTACGTAATGGGGTACTCATGCAGGCTGGAACCGGTGGGGAAGAGGAGGAGTGAGCGAACAGATAACATGAGTAAAAGACCCGGAAAACGCAAGTAGTCTGCCTTGCAACTAATTGTCTACAATTATTACTTATATGAGCAGGAAGTCTAAGAAATTGTCTGCGGCTTAGACAACTGCATGAGTTCATTAGATTGGTTATACTACTCGCCTTCATCGTACGGCCTGGAAGACCCATACTAAATAAGAGAGGGCTACCTCTGCAGGCAAAGAACTAATAAGTAGTCGGCAATGTCGTAAAAGGAGATAGCAAACGAAAAGGACGAAATTTACTATTAATGTGGTTACTTACGAGTAGTATAGCGGGCCACGAGCTGCGTATTATTATCTACCCAATGTCATGAGATGTTTTAATTCCGTGAAATGACCGTCCATAAAACATTATACTCCTGTAGTTAGTAATGTTGCTCGTAAAGTTTACGATATAACTCAAGTTCCCTGCAAGATTTAATGAACCCCTTATGGTTTCCTCTTAATGTATGATATTCCTCACGCAGAAAATATATGATGTGTAGGTTCTAAACCTTGAATGCATGCGTAACCGCAGGTAGGGCTCAAAGTTAATCGGGAATTGGAAGATGTTTAGAAAACCAAATTATACCCTTCCTTTGAGTAGTAAATTTAAAGAAGACGTAATTTTCTACTGAATGAGAGAAAGAAAGAATAAGTTCATGCGTGCTTCCCATGACATGGAATTTAATTTGCAAGGCGCTCTAAAGTCTACGAAAAAAATCATACTATATAAGTAGTCATTGTTTGCGAAAGGCCGGTGTTGCATGCGGCCGGAAAGATGTTCCTTTGAAAGCCAGCGCCCTGCGGTAAATGAATTATTATATGATTAAGCTACGTGATTATTAGGTTCAAAACCCTACCTAAGTAATCTTTTTGAAACGAAAACACCTTTCAGAAATCCAGTTAACATTTGTAGACTTAGGACACTGACTCATATCGCTGACCGATAGTACTAAGTATGTCACTGCTACCTTTATCTGCCGAACAGCAGATAGCAGAAGTAATGGTTACGACTGATACTGCTAGTAGTAAATGAATGAATTAGCTAGTAATACGCCAACACGAATGACGTGTAGAAGTGCTGGGTTACGTCTGGGCTGCTGCCAGTTGTTGAAACGAGGCTTTACGGCCACCATTGAACTGCCTGCGTGGAACAAGCCTACTGCAAGTCCTACGGGATTTAAGGCAATGCCGGTACTGCCGCTTCTGTAAAACGTACTGTGCTAGTCCCCACGCAAAAACGTATGTCTGCTGCGTAAACCCCCGTAAAGGTAAAGTTTGTGTACTTGGCTAACAATCGGAGTAATACGGCAAGACAGTTGTCTGCATATGGAAAGGCAGTCCATACATCGGCAATTATCGTATACGCAGGTAGTACCGATAACACTAGCACAAGATGTTACGAGCACAATCCGTTTAAGATATGACAATGCAGATCCTGCTGTTGTTGGTGCCGTCCTAACACAAGTACGACGTAGGCTATGGGGACTGCTAAGTCTAGGACTACCAATAATGCTACCGCGAGTGTGCATCAGGTAGCTTGTGTACCGAAGTTTACGTCGACTAATCATTCTACAGAACGCCTGATGGCGTTGTGTAATCCCCTTCTACGGCTACGACAACTGTTACTGTCGTCAAAGGTCAACTGTGAATATTGCGAACAGTAAACCAACAAGTGGAAAAATAACGGATACTGTTATCGCGAGGGATAATTTTTCAGATTAAAACTAAAACAACTAGTCATTTTCTTCCTGTGAATGCCTTTGCCCAT